CGGCGATGCCAGAGCGCGGTTTGGCAATGCCAGTGATGGGACGTGGAGCAGCCGGGGTCAGACTCCAAATCCAGCGGGCAGGAATTCCTGCAGCACCCAGCAGGGAGCAGGAGCCAAAGCAAACCTGGTGCCCAGCACGTCCCCGGCATGTGCTCCCAGGGCTGGGCTGGGGGGCGCAGCACTCGGCCCCCCGCTCGCCCTGTGGCCCCCCGGCTGGGGGTGAGCCCCGGACCCGCATCCCGACCCGTGCCGTGGCTCCCGCAGGGAAGTGGGGCAGCATCCGGGCCAGCGGCCGCATGAGCAGCTACGCCCTGAACGTGGAGATCGGGTCCCGCCTGGCCGGGAAGGACCTGCTGGGGGCCCAGCACAACGGGACCCCCGCCGAGACCACCTTCCTGCGGCAGCACCGCGCCTCCCTCTACATCATCGGCGACAAGTCCCAGCTGAAGGTGACCCCACCCCCGGCACGGCCCGCGGGGAACAGGGTTGGGGAAAGGAACGGAGCTGGGAAGGGTCTGGAGCAGCAGGAGGGGCTGAGGGAGCTGGGGGGGCTCATCCTGGAGCAAAGGAGGCTCAAGGGGACCTTCTGGCTCTGCAAGTCCCTGCCAGGAGGGGGGAGCCGGGGGGGAGTCAAGCTCTTTTCTCAAAAAACAAGTAACAGGATCAGAGGAAACGGCCTCAAGCTGTGCCAGGGGAGGGTCAGGTTGGATGTTGGGGAAAATTCCTTCTGGAAAGGGCTGTCCAGCCCTGGCTCAGCTGCCCAGGGCAGGGGGGAGTCCCCAACCCTGGAGGGATTTCCAAGCTGTATGGATGTGGCACTTGGGGACATGGGTCAGTGGTGGCCTTGGCAGTGCTGGGGGAGGGTTGGAGTTGGTGATCTCAGAGGGCTTTTCCAACCTCAGCGATTCCGTGATCCTGAGGGTGGTGGTGGCTCTGCTGGGGGTGTCCCTCAGGACATCCTGACTCTCTGCTCCCCCAGGGGGTGAAGCCGGACCCTCTGCAGCACTGGGAGGTGGTTCCCATCGAGGTGTTCGACGTGCGGCAGGTCAAGGCCAGCTTCAAGAAGCTGATGAAGGCCTGTGTGCCCGGCTGCCCCTCCAGCGACCCCAGCGTGGCCTACCTGCGCTCCCTGGAGGAGTCGGAGTGGCTCTCCCAGGTCAGGGTCACGCACAGCCCTGGGTCCTGTCCCCCCCTTTGCCCTTGGGCTCCTGTGCTCTGCCCTCCCGGCCACCCGAGGACGGGGGTCCCGGTGCCCTGCCCAGAGCACCCCTGGGACACGGAGTGGGGGTCACAGCTTGGTGTGAGGGACGGGGATGGAACAATCCAGAGCTCTGCTCCGTGGTGCTGGACGTGGGCACTGCAGGTCTGGGGCAGCTGCTGGATGGGGAAGCCAGACAGGACCCCCAGGAAACGCCCCTCTGGAGGGGCTGGGACGAGGCAGTGCCAGCAGTGACTGGGGTCACCGGGTGGCAGCTGCCTGGTGAGACTGGTCCCAGAGTGAGCTGTGGGAGGGGTCCCACTCTGGCTGCTGGGGGGAGTGAGGGTCTCCTGGCTCTGCTGCCACTGCCGTGTCCGAGTGTGGGGCTGTGGCCCTGTGTGACTCCCGAGCATGGCCGTGCTTGGGAGAAGGGGACAGTGCCCCAGGACCCAGCACAGGAGTTCCCTGCACCCTCCCAACTCCTGGCCCTGCCCTTGGCAGATCCACAAGATCCTGCAGATCTCAGTGCTGGTGGTGGAGCTGCTGGACACGGGTTCCTCCGTGCTGGTCAGTCTGGAGGACGGCTGGGACATCACCACGCAGGTGAGAGCCCACCAGGGCCTGAGGTGACCATGGGCCCCCCAGCAGTGCCTGGAGCCCCCTGTCCCTGTCCCTGTCCCTGTCCCCGCAGGTGGTGTCACTGGTGCAGCTCCTCTCGGACCGGTACTACCGGACGCTGGAGGGGTTCCGGCTGCTGGTGGAGAAGGAGTGGCTTTCCTTCGGCCACCGCTTCAGCCACCGCGGTGCCCAGACCCTGGCGGGGCAGAGCAGCGGCTTCGCCCCCATCTTCCTGCAGTTCCTGGACTGTGTGCACCAGGTGAGCCCCGGGAGCTGTGCCAGGGGGCCCCCGGGCACCCACCGGGACCCCCAAACATCGGGAGCACTCCAGGGGCAGTGGGAGGGGCCCGGAGCTCCGTGTGGTTTGGGGTTTGGGGGTCCCACCTCGCCGCTCCCCACAGATCCACCTGCAGTTCCCCATGGAGTTCGAGTTCAGCCAGTACTACCTGAAGTTCCTCAGCTACCACTACATTTCCAACCGATTCCGGACATTCCTGCTGGACTCGGACTACGAGCGGATCGAGCTGGGTGAGGGCACCGTGCGGGGCCCACGGGGGGGCACCCAGACCCCCACCCCAAATAACACCCCTTCTGCCCTCCGTGCCCCCCAGGGCTCCTGTATGAGGAGAAGGGCGAGAGGAAGAGCCAGCAGGTCCACAAATCCATCTGGGATTACATCGACCGGATCAACAGGAAAACTCCCGTGTTCTTCAACTACATGTTTGCTCCCGAGGATGGGGAGGTGAGAGCTCCTGTCCTGGGGCATCCAGGGGGCTTGGATGGGGTCTCCTCCCTGCTAGAGTGGCTGGAGTTGGTGTTTGCCCACCAGGGAAGGGACCTTAAAGCCCATCCAGTGCCACCCCTGCCATGGGCAG